GTCATTTGGTTCTTCGCTCTCTACTTCCTTAAGAAGAAGCCCTGGCCAGCTCTTTGAAAAGAGCCCCTTGGGAAGGAGGACAAGCCCATTTGCAACCAGTTGCCTTTGGATAGTTTCAGCTCATGGTGACTCCATGTGTGTCAGACCTGCATGACTGCTGTGACCTTTTGGAAGCAGACTGTAAGGTCCTTTCCTGAGATGTCCCTTGATGGGTTTGAACTGCCAGTCTTTGGCTTAGTGGCCCAGTGGTTCACTACTTGCCAAGAGGCCATCCAGTCCCTACCCCTTGCTATTCACTGGACACACTAGACCAGGAGCCCGGCTCGGGGGCTGGTAAATCCAGTGATGAATGGGCTGGGCTTCGGAGGTGTCCATGGAGGTGTTCTCGCTGGGGATTGTACCTGAATCGGCTCCATCTGTGCTGCCATTGGTCAGGAGGGGAAGGGGGCCTGAGAGCATGGGGAGCTCAACACTGGGCCACAGCCCTGGGGTTCACCTGCCAGAGAGCTCTGCATGCTAACGGTAGCGTGTTTGCCTGCGTATATTGCATTCATTTTGCAAATACATCTAAAATAAAAATCGTCACTTACATTATTAGTTATTTTTGAATGCTGTCTTTTATAAAAGTGGGGGGGGAGTGAATATTTATTTCATTCATCCAGAGCCTAATTGTTTGCTTGGAAGGCCCAAACTTTCAGGAGGCCAGCTGGCAGTTCATTAGGGTCTCTAACCAACGAGCAGACCATGGTGATGGACTTAACCCTAGATCTTTTCAGTCCTGTTCCAGATTATATCAAATCAACTGTTGAGACGGTGGTGAAGATTCACCAGACAGAGGGCGATGGAGATGTACTGGCATTCCTTACTGGCCAGGTAATTCCACCGGCCCCTTCTCTGTGAGGAGGGGACATGCTGGGACAGTGCCACCATAGCCAGGGTAACCTTTGTCTCACGTCGTGTGATGCAGACTGTCAGGGAGTTGCTCCCTCTTGCTTGTTTGGGGGTTGGCTGTATTTGAAACCTCATTGGTGGATTCCAAAGCCTACTAGGTAGCTTAGCCAGCGAGCGGTTCTGTTTGCCGAGACTGAGTTTGGCATTTGGCACGTCTTGCTGCTAGCGTGCCGCTGCTGCATGCCTTCTTTCCCGGGGACTGCTTACTGCTTGTCCTGAGGTGGGATGGGCCACCTTCCTGGAAGAACATGCTGGCAGCCACCGCCTGCCCACCCAGGTGGTGGCACTCTGTGGAGCTACGTCTGTTGGAAACTTTTCCACTGCCAGACCCTTTCGACAGTTCAGTAATCATTTCCGTGGAAGGGGTAATGGGATTTTATACGTTGCAACTTGTCCCCACGCACAAACCGCTTTGTTTGCCACCGCCCTTAGAAGCTTCAGAAAATCGTCATCGTTTATCAGAGCCTCTTTGACTCACTGTGCTTAGTATACATTTCCATCATTCATTTTATGGCTACAAGTATTCACCACTTCAACATCGCTGCTCAGGAGTCGTTGATTAAGTGTCTCCCCAGAGGGGACAGTGGTGGCAGTGAACTCCAGCAGTCTGACCAGCGTTGAGCTGTAGACACATCTTGTGTTTTCATTGGTGCTGATGCAGCGAGCGGCTGAGAGCTGACTTGGGTGTCTTGGCTTCCTGGCCACGTGCTTTCAGGAGGAGGTGGAAGCCGTCGTGTCCATGCTCATTGAGCAGGCTCGCTCCTTGGCCCGCACCGGGATGAAGAAGCACCTGCGCGTTCTCCCCATGTACGCTGGGCTGCCTGCCTTTGAGCAGATGAAAGTGTTTGAACGAGTGCCACGCAGCGTCAGAAAGGTGAGAGCCGCCCGCGACGGACCTGTCCTCACCTTGCTGCTCCATCCCTGCACACTGGACAGACTCCTTTTTTTGCTCGTTGTTGAAATTAAACACAGCAAAACATGTACCAATTTAACACCTTCTGCGTTCAGTTCTGTGATATCGATGCCATTCTTCAAGTTCTGTTTCCCCCAGTTGTTCCTCCCCGAGAGCATAAACTCCTCTTCCGATCGAACTTCTATAGCGTTGTTGTTTTCAGGTTGATCCCCTTATAGATTGTTATTTAAAAGAGCACAGCGCTCAAGGAAGACACATGTCAGTAATGAAGCTAGATTGTTGCTTCGTTTAAAGAAGACTTACAGGGATATTTGGTTGATAGTAGAAAGCTGGTCTCAGGGTAATAGTTGGGGGCTTCCTCCGCCTCCTTGGATCCAGAAAGTGTGGATTCCAAAAGAATTTGAAATTCTGTTCTGCATCTTCCCAGCCCCGCTCTGATGAAGATTCTTTCATATAGTCGTTGATCAAAATGTTCAGTAATAATAGCCAGGCACCACGCAGTGATTTTTTTGGTTTGTTTTTAATTTCATTAACGTGAAGTTGGCTAAATGTGAAGGTTTCCTAAAGAATTCTCAGCCCATGTTTCTGTGTGACATCTTGAAAGCTCACGGTGAAAATTACTTCTTGGCAATTTGGAAACCTGCCCACAGAAGGGCCGCCCTCCCAGTCATGATTGTATCTGGCAACATTTATCTCTTCTCTCCGCCTGATTTTCCCCTTGGACTCGAAGCTACCCTGGAAGAGCTCCCACATGCTGAACACTTACTGTGCGCCAAGTTTTAGGCTTTTCTCACTTGGTGTGCATTTCCTCTCTGATCCCTTTGGCAACCCTGGGGGTAAATATTTAACAGATGCAGACACTGAGGCTCCCGAGGTGAGGTAACTGAGGTAAGGGCAGCCTGTGGCTCAGCCCTTGCTCGTTGCAGTAGAACCAGCAGGCTGGCTCCTACCGTTTGTAGAATGTCGGCACCATCTCTGAATCTCTTGTGGGTTTTTAGAAGTGGCTTATTAAATGTGAAGAGAATCCTGTGGCGTTCACCCTCACTCTCCTCTTCTGGTGGGGTCGTAGGTGATAGTAGCCACCAATGTGGCGGAAACCTCCATCACCATCAGCGGCATTGTGTACGTGATCGACTGTGGCTTCGTGAAGCTCCGGGCCTACAATCCCAGGACGGCCATTGAATGCTTGGTGGTGGTCCCTGTATCCCAGGCCTCAGCCAACCAGCGTGCAGGCCGTGGTGGCCGTAACCGCTCAGGAAAATGTTACCGACTTTATACAGGTTAGTGGGGGTGCTCCTGGAAAGATTGGCTTTCTCATAGTGAATATGGGCATTGGAGGATATTTCAAGTATTGATCCTTAATTTGAAGAATGTAATATAAAATCTGGACCCCTCACATACCACTTATCTGCCACTGCTCCCCATTGGACAGAGCTGATTCATGAGCGATAGCCTATTTGCTGTTCTTGCCCTCTCTGGACAGGGCTTATCTTGTCATGTGGCCTGGTAACTTGGGCCTTGGGGGGTCAGACCCTGCCTCGCTTACCTTTTTCCTGTAAGTTACTGTACTCAGGTTGGGTTTCATTTCCTCCTCTGGGTCACAGTGCCTTTGCAGAGGTAGGATCCGGAAACTCCTTTGTAGAAAACAAAGAGTAAATTCTTGCTGGGTCATAAACCATGCTAGGCTCTGAGGGAGCAAAATAAAATCACCATAGAGATTGTCCCAGCCTTTAGTGAGCTATCTTTCTAGCTGGAAGACAGGCTTATCAACAGGTAATGATGTACCCAGAGTGACTTTCTCTCTCTGCAATTGTTTGTTTTTTTAGTTATGTGGACAATGGTGCCAGGACTCCTCCCAGTTCTTCAGAATTAATTTTCAATTAAGTCATTAAAAAAACATTCAATTGATTCATTAAAAAAAACGTTGAGAATGTACACAGCACATTGTATACCAACTCAGCAGTTTTGCCATATGTTCAATTTGGAGACATTTGTACGGTTCAGTGACATTTATTATGTTCTTCGAGTTGTACAATTTGCAGTCTCTTTTTCTGATTTGTTTGTCCCCATGAACCTAAACTCACTGTCCCCTAATTTTCATAAGTAGCCTTTTGAATGGCTGTTGTCAGTTGGATCCCATAGTGCAATAAACTCAGTGCCTTCCTCCTAGCAGCCCTACTGGACAGGGTCGAACTCCTATTTACAGGAGTAGAAGACTTCTCCCTTGGAGTGGCTGGTGGCTTTGAACAGCTGACTTAGTGGTTTTGAACTGCTGACCCTGTGGTTAGCAACCCAGCTTATCACCAGGACTCTTGCTTCCATATAGATAGATCTTAACAAGCATAATTCTCAGGGCAGATATTCTTTACTATTTAATCTAAACTCCTGTTTTATTGTAAGAGGATTCTAATGATTATACTCTGTGGGACCAGGTTGACTAGAGAGACAAATCCGGGGACACTCATATGTGTAAGAGAGAGCTTTATATCAAGAAAACATCCCAGTCCAGTCCAGATCAAGTCCATAAATCCGATACTAGCCCATAAATCCCTCTTCACACTCACGCAGCCACATGCAGTGATGCAGAATGCAAGAAGATTACGAGCTGGTAGGTGCAAAGTCTTGTAGACCCAATGGTGGTGGACGCACCTCCAGGGCTCTGGCTGCCATCAGTGCAGCTCGTAGTGGCTCGGCAACATGGAGGTGAAGCAGAGAGAGGGGATCTTTATGAGGATGCCACACCCACAAGGAGGTACCATCAGGCTGTGACCTGCTTGGCAGGCTAGACCCCACCCCTTCACTCTCGAGTTGACAAGAGATTATGTAACAACCACATACTTAATTTAAGTTTTAAAGATTATCTCAGGGCATTCATTAAGGACCTCCTCCATCCTCTTTGGCTCCAGAAATTCTGGATTCCATGGGGATTTGAAATTGTATTCTGCATTTTCCCCCCTTTTGATCAGGATTCTTTTGTAATTAGAATGTTTAGTAACAGAAGCTGGACACTATGGAGTCTTTGGTCTCAGACAAAGGAGGTGATTAGCCACACAGTCCATTTCCTCCTGCTCCTGGCCCTCTTTCTTCCTCTGTTACTCAGTCATTTAACTCTTCCCTCTGTCTGATAACCACCTGCAGTCACCTAACCGGGTTTGGGAGTTTTATTTCTGTTCAACTTTCTTTCCCTTCTGGTTATTATTGACACCTTTCTCTTCAATCGTTTTTCCTTCTACAAATTTTTATAGAGCCCTTGCTGTCTGGCAGGCATGGAAGTCGGGCTGGAAGATCTAAAGCTAGTGGAGAACTGTTGGCCTGGCAGTGTGGTGGTGGAGGCAGACCCACTAGTAGATGAATAGAGTATGGTGGGATAAGTTTTCCATGAAGGGTGAACCTGGGAAACAGAGATGAGAGCGTATTATCCTGCTGGGGCATTGGGAAAGGCTTCATGACTGAGGTGGTCTTTGAACGTGACCCCCAATAATCACCCAGGTGAAGGAGTGAGTGGCAGTGGGTATTAGATTTTAGTATACCAAGCAGAGGCAATGGGATGTACAGGTGCTTAGAAAGAATGAAGGGGGCTGGTCATCTTCATGGACATGAGACCAGAGTTAAAGATGCTAAGCAGGGATAATTGGGCGGAAGCAGGAGAACCAGGACTAAAACCTTCCTACATAGCATGAGCGGGAAGGTGTGGAGCACTCTTCAAGATGAAGTGGCCAGCACCATCTCGTGCTCCATGGAAATCGGGACTGGGGGGTTCGTGCAGACTGCTACAGATAAGCAGACAGGTGGGTTTGCTTAGATCGTCACTCATTCCCACAGTGATACAGTGCTCACCTGCTAGTGAGAAGACGAATGGTTCAAATTCACTAGCTGCTCCAGGGGAGAAAGATTTGGCAGTCTGCTTCTTAAAAGATTTACAACCTTGGAAACCCTGGGGTGGGTGGCTATGAGTCAGAGCCCACTCATCAGCACTGGGTTTGGCTCCCATAACAGGAGCAGTTTCAGTGGAAGGGGGTGGGGGAGCGGCCATCTAACAGTAAAATTGACCTCTAGCCTTTCTTAGCCAGTCTGGTTCTGATACACCTTCAGCCAGTGGAGCTCTGAGCTGGGTGCCTCTTGCCCTGGCCTTTCGGTTTCCCAGAACCTCCTGGGACATCCCCACAGCGTATCTTTTACTGTGTTCTACAGCTCCGCTGGATTCCATTCTCTTCCTGAGTACCCCATTTCTTATTTTGGACCCTTTAGTCCTTGATCACTTTGCTTGGCCTGTTTCCTCTGTGCCCAGCAGATTCTCCTCCTCTTTCAAGAGGCCCCTCCCTCCTGAAACTCGATGCCTTCTTCCAGCAGCTGTGATTCCCTCTTTGGCTGAGCCTCTATTCTCTGTGGGAGGAGCACTCATGGGGCCCTATGCTGTTTCTCCTAGGAAGACCTCATATCTGGTCATGGCCTTCTCCTCCTTCATGTAACGAGCTTCTCAAAGGCTTCACCCGTGCCTCCTACCCTTTAACCCTCCGCAGAGTTCCATCGAGCCTCCCTGAACCCCTCTGCTGCCCCTGCTTCCTGGGCGCACCTCAGCAGAGCTGTCCTCTTCTCTGATAGCTTTGCTTTCCCTTGATCACCAGCGTGCTTGGAAGAAGTGGTCATCCTACAAAAACCCTGTACCCCAAAGACCCTTGAAGTCCAAAGGTAATAGTCCATTTGCAACGTCCTGCTCCGGAAGTCGCCCAGACCCTCCCAGTGAGACAGGCACATTTGACAGTGTATGTCAGCCGGTCCTCAGAGTACTGCTTGTCTGTTCTCTCCGGATGGTGCTCTTTCCTCATGGCATCTTTGCTTTGCTTATCTCTCAGCTGACTCAAGCCTGGTCATCTCACGGCAGCCAGGCTGCCGCCATGCCAAGGAGTGTGTGCACCCGTGAACACAATGATGTGGGCAGTGCAGCCAGTACGTTATGTAAACTCTCTTGAGTATCTGGAAAAATGACGCACTCTTTCCCCCTTCTCTTGCTCCTCGCCCTCTCTGTCTGTGTAGCTTTTTATAACAGGCCTCCCAAAGTCCCTATTTCCGGCCCCTTCCATCTGGGAAACATTGTGCCTTGGGCCACTTTTTCCGATTGGAGGTCCCCTCTTGTGCCTGACAGGGCTTGTAAACATTCATAATGTACTTATGGCAGCACTGCGTTTGGGTGTGACCTTGTGTGCCTGGCTCAGTCATATTTCCGAGTCAGATTTGAATCATTTCTGCCCTTTCTAAGATTTATTCTATTCGGACTCAGCAACATGTGAAACAAGAGTATATACCATGCTGATGAGAATGCTGTGTGGTATTTGCTCCTTCCCCCTCAAAAGCCTTGTATAACACTGATTTTCTCAAAAACACGGTTACTAGTTGCTTTTCATGTACTGTATTGTTGATAAACTTAGACGTCCTGAAGTAGAGGGACACACTTTAACAAAGGTCTATTGTTCACATATGTTGGTCCATTAAAGTCAAATGGCCTTAACTGAATAAATGCACAACTTCATGTGATGGCACCATAGTCTTCTGTTTTGTGGCCTGCTGTTCAAGTGAGAGAAGTCTCTTTGGCTTAATGATTGCATTTGATTGTGACCTTTGATCTCGCATGGTTCTGATTTCTTCTCAGAGGAAGCCTTTGACAAGCTGCCCCAAGCCACCGTGCCTGAGATGCAGCGCAGCAACTTGGCGCCTGTCATCCTTCAGCTGAAAGCGCTGGGAATCGACAATGTCCTCAGGTTCCACTTCATGTCGGTAAGTCCCGCCTCTGTGGCTGTGGGAGGGTGGCAAGCCCCTGGGATGCCCCCATGTTGTTTTTAGAGTGAAGCGCCCTTCGGTCTTTGGTACCACCCCATGGCTGTGTGCTCCTTTGTGCAGGCCCTGCGCAGGTGGTGGGAGCCCCGGCAGACTCAGCTGGTGTGATTCCTGTGCCAGCCAGCTTCTGTTCTTGTCTACTGGGGGATGGGGCACAGCCAGTGGTGACAGGGTACAGGTGTTGGGGGAGCACAGAGGCAGGGCTCCTAGCTCAGTCAGTCTTGTCTGAGGTGAATCTGAAACCCAAGTCAGATTTGCCCAAGGAAGATGAGTGGAGGTCCCCATCACAGAAGATGTGTGCACGCCTAGGAGCAAGTAGATCACCCAAAGGGGACTGGGTTGAACCTCAAGGAAGATCCTGTGCTGTATTTTTGGTTAAACCTCAGGCTCGTTTCTAGGGTGGAATTATTGGAGCAAAAGGCCTGAGATGTTTGTGTATTGCCAAATCATTTGCCAGTGTAAACTCCACCAATGTGCAGACACCCGTGTTTGCTAATTTGAGGAGAGAATTATCTTTATGTTTTAAACCACTTATGAGGTCCAAGAAATCATTGCATTTTTTCCACGTGGTCAAACCATTTCTTTATTAGAATTAATGCTATTAAGTGATTTTCCAGAATTCTTTGAATATTAAAGAAATAAATTTTTGTCAGTAAAAATGTTTGTAATATTTTATCAGGTTATTTACATTTCATTATTATTTTTAAATGTGCTCACTCATTCAACCAACTCTCATCAAGCCGATGCAGGCTCATAGTGACCTTATAGCACAAGGTAGAATTGCCCCTGTGGGTTTCTGAGACTAACTCTTTGAGGGAGTAGAAAGCCTTGTCTTTTTCCCTAAGAGGGGCTGGTGGTTTTGACTTGCTGACCTTGGGGTCAGCAGCCCAGTGTGTAACCACTACCCCACTGGGACCTTCTATGTGCGAAGCAGCCCTGATAACCTTTACACGCTGGAGCCTCCAGTTTAAATGTGCAGACGTTCAGAACACTGCCATAGTCAGCTCCGTGTGTCTTTGCCTCTGATTCCTTCCTTCCGTTCTGCTGGGCTGTGAAGCCCTTCTCCAGGTCTAGTTCCCGAGTCTCCACTTCCACCTTCTTCCTGCATTTTCCTTATCTCAAGACTCAGTTTTACTCTTGGATAGCCCAGCTCTATTGATAGATTGTGTGACAAGTTTAGATTTCTGATAGATCCCTATTGTCATATGTCAGGATAATGAGATGAATAGCAGAATTGAATGTAAAAATGTCACCTCCCATCTCCAAGAAATGAAAAGAAAAGGGAGGAAAAGAGTAAATAATTGTATGCTTATCATAAAGTCTGAAGAAAAAAATCCTTTCTGACTTAAGTGTATAATATAAGAAATGATAAAGAAAAGAATATGTAAATTAAAAGCTTAGGAAAGCCCCACCCATACCTACAATTAGAGGAGAACATAATGGGAGCGATGACAGATTTGTATCTTAAAACTGGTTCTCAACCTGTAGGCCGCGACCCCCTTGGGGGGTTGTCGAACAACCCTTTCACAGGGGTCGCCCGATTCATAACAGTAGCACAACGACAGTGATTACGTAGCAACAAAAATAATGTTATGGTTGGGGGTCGCCACCACATGAAGAACTTTATGAAAGGGTCGCGGGTCACTGCGTGAGGAAGGTTGAGAACCGCTGCTTTAAAAAATGTCAGGTGCGAACCGATTACAAGGAACTATATGTGACCTCCTCCCTGGGGGACGGACAACAGAAAAGTGGGTGAAGGGAGACGTCAGACAGGGCAAGATATGACAAAATAATAATTTATAAATGATCAAGGGCTCACGAGGGAGGGGAGAGCGGGGAGGGAGGAGAAAAATGAGGACCTAATACCGGGGGCGGTGAAGAGGAAATGTTGTACCCCTAGTACTTGGGCGGAGAGGAAATGTTTTGAGAATGATGAAGGCAATGAATGTACAAATGTGCTTTACACAGTTGATGTATGTATGGATTGTGATGAGAGTTGTGTGAGCCCCTAATAAAATGATTAAAAAATACATATATATCAGGTGCATTTGGACATCTTTGGAATAAGTCAAGACAAGGAAGCTGCACAACTCGGCAACTGCCCTTAAAGCACGCCAGCTTCTTGAGAGAGAGCAGGGCTCACTGAAACAGCTGTGCATGAAGTACCACTCACCACCGATGAAATGTCAAACATAAAGACAAGTGATAAAATCCAAAGCTGGCTTGGCGTGGGAAGCTAAATTCCCTTTGTATTGCTGACCCTGCGTCTGCCTGCCTGCCTCGAGGACTTCCGGACTGTAATTAACGAGCCACGGGACTGTCTGGTCTATCTGCTGGTGGAAATTTCCCCTGAGCGAATGCAAAGGAAGGAAAAAAGCTTACCTGGGTGCTGCTGTGCACAGCATCGTTTTGTACTCAATTACAAATGGTAACTAATGAAACTTAGGAGATTTTTAAACCATCGAAAGTGAGAAAAATACACTAAAATGGATCATTCGATATGAGGGGACTTAAGAAAGTTTGTGGAAAAAATAGAATTAAAGAGTAAATAAAATTTTCCACGAATGTTTTGAGGCCCTCTTATATTTCTGTCTGGTTAGTGTTATTTTTAAAGTTTTATTTATTTATTTATTTTTTTTGTTTTATTTTTAATGCAATGATTTTACAGCTTTTTAAGAACTGAAATGGTAAGATACAATGACTTTTGTGTATCAGCAGACTTATTCACAAGAACAGAAAACTGAGGATAATGCAGTTGCCCTGGAATTATTTAAAATAATTTTGTGCTTCATATTATGAAGTTGGACCTTGATGGAATGTTTTGTAGCTATTCCAAGTGTCTTTTTTTTAACCCTGTGAAGTACTAGGGGTACAAGGAGCGGTGGAGGCCGCGAAACAGCAAGAAAAGCAGACTCAATGACAGACACAGTGATGCCAGCTATGCGAATACATTGAGTGTGATCTCAAATCGAAGGGTCATCCGAGCCACGAGGGAAACGTTTCTTTTGGTGTGAATGCACCGGATGTGATTTTAAAGTTTTATTTTGGTAAAATTATTTTTCATTGGTGAGAAAAACCTTAAAGGGCAGAATTCATAGGACTTAGAGATTGTGGCAGTAGAACCAAGGATTGTGGGGAGTCAAAAATTGCCTCAGTTTGGTGGTTGCCCTCGAGGTGATCCAACACCGAGAACATCAAGTAGTTAGAAAACTGACACGACAATACTTCATCAGCGATAAATCACTGCGCAAATATTGATGTTCACGTAGGCATCAGTGGAGGACTGACAGCAGGGGACGAAGAACATGAAATAAAAGTTTGTGTTTTATGAAGGCAGGGCAAAAAGAATTTTCCATAAATTGAAAAAAATATTCTTTTTAAAAACCCAAAAAACTGTAGTCACTTGGCTCAACCTGAAGAATCCCGTTTGGCGTTAAACTGCCTCTAACCCCTGCTAGCAACTGGCCCCTGCTCTCGTCCTCTCCCCGCCCTCCAGACCAGAACTTGACTCTTCCAAGACGTCTCTGAACTCTGCCTGCCCAATTAGCCAGGAACGTGCACTGTTTTGTAAGACCTTGAATTAGTCCCTGCAGCTGTGCTGTTCCCTCCAGCTTCGTTGCCCTGTCAACTAAATGCTAGACTAGCCCTCCCCTGAGCCAGCCCACTACTTTGAACTATAAAAATCCTGGAATCTTTTTTTTCCCTGGATTGTGAGATTTCCAGGTGCTAGCCCGTTCTCGATCCAGCTGTTTAATAAGGGCTTTAATTATTAATATTGTGGTGTGACTGATCTTGCTCAGTACAACCAAATTCAGTGCTTGCCTGTTTTGTTAGAGTGCTAACTGCGAGGTCAGCAGTTCAAAACCATCAGTGCGCTGAGGAAGAAAGATGAGAGTTTCTAGTCAAAACAATTTACAGTCTTGGAAGCCCACAGGGATAGTTCTGCCCTGTTCTAGAGGGTCACTATGGGTCACAATCAACTGGTGTTGGGTTGGGTTTGAGCATCTCTTGGTACATAAAGATATGGCCACTGAAGATAGGCTGGTGAGCCAGTGGCCAGATTTACTCAACAGCGATTTGCTCTTTGCCGTGAAGGCAGCCCCTGCGTAAGGGAACACAGTCAGTGCAGCCCCAGAGGAGACATTTGATGGGGCGCTGTGGATGCTGAGAAAGGGAGGGAGACCTGGCTTTGCCCTTGTGGTTGTGTGCAACCGCCATTCCTTCCGTCAGCTGTAAAATCAGACTGAGAGTGGAATGCAGAAAGCAAGTATGTTAAGTGAATGTGTTTAGAAAAAAGCTGTGCTTTGCTATGATTTTATTGCCTGGTTTACTGGAAATCAAATAATGTAGAGAAAATAATCGTGAGCTGGTGCCTCCTAGGGGCTCAGTAGGAATGTGTGAAGGGAAAGCAGGAGGAGATTTCAAACAGAGGGCCCCCGTGTCGGTTAGAGCTCTGTGTTTCGATGTGCCCAGATCATCTGGCCTTCTTTTGGATTTTCAGAAAGCTGTGTTGAGCACAGATATTTAGTGCCCCCCATGGGCAATGCCTGGCGCTGGGCTCTGGGTGATGCAGGCATGAGTAATCAATGAGTTCTGCAATGTCTTGGGGCTCTCATGAGCAGAAGGTTAAGGAGAGGAAGTTAACATCAGAAACGCCAGAGGAGAGTTTAGGGAACATGAAGCAGTAGAGCAGAGGGCGAGGGGGATTTGAAGGGGAAATGTATACCTCAGCTGAGCTTTATTTACTTATTTCTATTAAAAGATCATTTTATTGGGGACTCTTACAACTCTTGTCACAATCCATATATCGCTTGCATCAGGTGAATTTGTATATATGTTGCCTTCATTTTTTTTAGACATTTACTTTCTATTGAGCCCTTGGTATCAGCTCCTCTTGTTCCCCCCACCCACCCCTTCATAACCCCTTGATAGATCCCAGCTGAGCTTTAGAAACCAAATAGTATTAAGGGGAGGCAGGGCATGTCCAAAGATACTGAGAGCAAGTAGTGTGGAGGCCGGGCGGTAGGGGGCATGTTGGAGGGAAGAGTGGACTTCAACAGGCAATGACATGCTTTTATGTTGGCTGTCCAAAGAAATTAACTTAGAATTCTAATGGTGATGTTGGTGATGATTATTTTACAGCCCCCGCCAGCACAGTCCATGGTCCAAGCTTTGGAGTTACTCTATGCCCTGGGAGGTAAGTCTGTGTCTCATGCCAGGCAGGTTCTGGGATTTGAAGGCCTGTACTATCTTTAAGGTTGGGTTGGTTTTTCTTGTAGAGCTGTTGATATACAACTTGTGTAATGCCGTTGTTTTCTCTGGGATTTCTCCTTCACTTACTTGCTTGAGTGTAGACTCACTTTTATGCAAGAGGGAAATAATAATATCGATTTCATTTTTATTCCAAAACTTATGGTAGATAACGCACACACAGTCACTCTGTACATGGGAAAGATTGTTAATGGGAATCATGTTAATGTTAGTTTAATGCCAAGGGAACCAAATTTTACTTTATACATACATTCTAATGCAGCGGTTCTCAACCTGTGGGTTGCGACCCCTTTGGGGGTCGAAAGACCCTTTCACAGGGGTTGCCCGATTCATAACAGTAGCAAACCTACAGTTATGAAGTAGCAAAGAAAATAATTTTATAGTTGGGGGTCATCACCACATGAGGAACTGTATGAAAGGGTCACAGCACTAGGAAGGTTGAGAACCACTGTTGTGTGTTGAGGGACTATAAGAATTTTTTTAAAGGAGTCCTGGTGGCATAGTGGTTACATGTTGGTTTGCTAACTGAGAAGTCAGCAGTTCAAAACCAGCAGCCATTCTGAGGGAGGAAGATGAGGCTTTCTTCTTCTGTTAGATGTTACAGTTTTGGAAGCCCTCTGTCGTATAGGGTCCCCATGAGTCAGAATTGACTTGATGGCAATGAGTTTTTTGAGTTGAATATAGGAATTTTGGAACTGGTCTGCTACTTCACTTGCCAGATTGGAGAAATCAGTTTGGCTTTGGGGCTGGGCTGGTGGGAGAAGGTGTCAGCAGTCACGATGCCCTGTGCAGAATTGGAGCTGCACCACAGGCACAGCCCCTGCCCGCTGCCCCTGGTCCCTGTCTGCCGTAGCTCTGCAGGGAATGGACCTCTGTCAACTACTGCAACCTGTTTGTATGTTGCATGTTTGTCACTTAACACCCTCCTGGAGCTAAACAATAAAAAACTCCAAAGTTTTGTTGATTGTCTCCTTATACTTTTCCTAACTTTCAGAACGTTCATGATCAAAGTTCTTGAAGTCAATCTCTTGGTGAAAGGAAACAACTGTTTTGAATGCTGAAATGAAATATGAATAGCTGTGGAATCAAATGTTGTTACCTGGGAACAAGAACACTGTCCATTTCACTGTTGTTACATTGCCCGGAAGACTGCTTTGACTGATGAGGCTGGTTTTGTGTTTCCTCCTCTTTAGTATTTTATGGCAAAAACTCTGCCATAGAGGAATGGTGAAGTACCGTATATACTCAAGTATAAGCTGACCCAAATATCTGCCGAGGCACCTAATTTTACTACAAAAACTGCATTAAAAATGTGCTGAAAAACTCGGCTTTTACATGAGTATACACAGTAATTTACAACCATGAGATAAAAGCCCACGACTTACTGTTTTGCAGTTGTGATTCTTTTTTAAACAAAAAATAAGTTTGTCAGAAAATTTTTTTCTAGTGTTAGTCATTCCATGAGGTTTTCTCCTGAGCTAATAATGAACACTGCCTGTTTGCCTGCCACTTCTGTGCTAGTGTTAACTCTCAGGCCTACTTCCCGGCCTCTCCCACAGTGGGAGGGTGGGTGGGGTCAGGGGGCAGCAAATCTGATTTCTTGTCTCTGGTTTCACCTCTCTTCAAACCGAGAAATCCCAGCAAGGAGTCTTGCAGGGCACTGATTCCTGCCCTCTTCTCTCAGTGAGGAATGTGGGGGCCAGAGAAGCTGGAGACTTGCCCAGATCACCCAGGCAGCTGCAGTAGACTGGAATGTACCTCTGCCTTCCCCTGTGCAGTCGGTTCCTGGCTGAGGCGCCCGTGGGAGCAAGGGCCAGGCAATCAGGAAAATGCATTTTGGGAATCAAATCATACCCCACATGGCTGGCTCCGAGGAGGGAGGAGATCGCCTGCCTGCCTTATTTCCTAACCTAAAAAGGAAAGAAACCCATCCTCCAAACTGCCACTACCAAACCCACTGCCCCGGAATAAGCCCACCTCAGGGAAAGAGGAGGCTCTCTGCTCCCATGAAGACTCAGGCCCGCTCCTGTGGGGCCACTCTGGCTTGCAACGAATTCGTGAAGCTCACTTCCGGAAATCATCCAGGCGGCAGTTGGATAATGAGGCTGCTGTGGCCCAGAAGCATTCTGGGATAGCATTTGGGTCCTAAGTTGTGCCCTCCCCCCGATTGACTCCCCTGGGTGATTGCTCAGCGAGAGATGAGCACACAGCGAGGGACCATCACTCCAGGGTGCCTGTGCTTATAAGGAACTGCATGTGGAGAACACTTAGTTGACTGAGGTCGGAAAGCAGGAGGGTAGGGGAGGCTGGAGACCAGGCCTTGGCCAGCAGAGTCGATGTTGCAGGAGACCCTTACTGTTGACACTGTGTAATTGTTGGACAGGAAAGAGGGGTCGTGGACAAAGTAGGGGACCGAGGCTGTGATGGCTAAAGGGGGATTGGGAGGCAGAGGAAGCTGCAGGACCATGTCCTTATTGAAATCCCCAAGTGGGAGCCTCCAAAAGTCTTGGCTGTTCAGGAGCCCAGGCAGCTCCTTTCCTCTTCTCGTGTCATGCTACCTCAGTGTCAGAGGGGAGCTGGGCGTGCACGAGTCTGCTTCTGGATGCCACGGTCATACATGATCCTGTCCTCCCAGCGCACCGCCTCTGACCCTTAGTTCTCTCCTGATGACAGGCCTGGACAAGGACTGTCGCCTCACCGAGCCGCTTGGCATGAGGATAGCGGAGTTTCCTTTGAATCCCATGTTTGCAAAAATGCTGCTTGAATCAGGTGGGTGGAGCCCGATGGGTCTCATTAATTTTATTTCCATGGTCAGAAGCATCGCTTGAATTCCGTGTACCCTCGGGGAGGGGGCACAGAGTACCCGGATAGTGAGGGCGCTCTTGTGAACAGTGGTTGGGTTAGGGGCCTGTGGCTGACTTGTGATCAACGTCCATCCATCATGAGTTCAGCCAACGCTTTTGTCTGTCTGTCTCCTAAGGGCTCACTCACCCCCACCACCCGCACGCAGGTTTTGGGGAAGATTTGAGTTGAGTTAGATATAGAACCTGGAGATCTTCGGATATTTAGAAGTCACGTTATGGAGTCTCCTGAGAAAGCCGAGAGTCATTTGTTTCTTCTGTCTATAACTTTCATTTCCACTAGCAATCTGTGGAAGATGTATTTCATTTCAGAGTAAGCACAGAAACCAAGTGCTCAGTGCTAAGGGTGGTCTGGAATGACCACATACCCTTCGCCATCTGTGGACAAGCAGGGAGCTGAGGGAGGGGTCCGAGGAGCAGGTCATTTGTGAGGCAGGAGCAGCCTGGACAGTATAGTTCACTCCAGCTGTCCAGCGGCATTGCTGCCGGCGCCATCTGCTGGCACCGGTGGGGAGCCACCCGGAGAGTGCCGCCCGATCTAGTTGGTGGGCTTCTCTAGGCCAGCTGGGCCCTGCTGAGATGGAGGTCACCGATAGGAGGGTCTAGGAGCAGCAAAGCAGCAGAAGGGGCACTGCCCACTGTTCCCTACATGAGAGTTGGGGGGTGGTGTGGGGCAGGGAGCTGTAGAGCTGAGTCAGTCTGGACTTCACCTTGGCTTAGAGCCCCAGCTTGTGTTGGGGTGCATAGCCGGCTTCTGAGAGGGGAGTGTTTCTGTATCATCACATTTAAACAAAATGTAACTATGTATAAGCCTGTGCCATCAAAGCAAGGTGCAACACAGAAAATGTCGTTCACGCCTTGTGTGCCCTGGTGCCTGAGTGAAGGCAAACTTGCTCTTTCTGCTCCATAGGACATTTCGGCTGTTCTCAAGAGATCCTCAGCATTGCGGCCATGATGCAGATCCAGAACATCTTTGTGATCCCCCCCAACCAGAAGTCTCAAGCGGTGAGTCCAGCCTTGCCCCTCAGCTGTCTGCAGTCTCTTGTCCCCCTGAGCTACCCTGAAACCATCCCCCCAGAGCTGCTGAAGACCCAGCAGCCTAGGTGGTCGCTCCTCACAGTCTCAGTGTTTGCCGGTTACCTAGGAGACCCTGGGTGGCTCAGGCGGTTAAGAGTTCGATTACTAGCCTAAAGGTTGTACCCCAGCCAGAGGTGTCTTGGCCGACAAGCCTAGTGATTTACACCCACGGAGCCGAGTTCTGCTCTGCACACCCAGTTGCACCCCCCCTGAGTGGAAATCGAGGGGCAGCTTTTCTCATCACGCTGGTCCTGGGAGCTGGGCGCTAAGAGGTCACTTCCTGGTGGATGCTCATCTGGAGGGGAGGCATTGGCTCTCGGCCCAGAGCCCCAGGCCATGATCATTGCATTTACCGACGTTCAGTGCCCCAGAGGGAGGTTGGGAGTCCAGGGGCCTCCCAAGGGACTGCTCGTGGAGGGCCTGGGCTGAGGCATTCTGAGTCAAGGAGGTGGCAGGAGTGAGTGCTGGGAAGACTGTGACGAACGTGTCAGGACTAAAGAGGCCCCGGAGATGGAGGCAGGTCGGCGGGGCCCTCAGGTCGGAGAAGTGCAGCTGTTCCCACTGGAGGGCTGAAGACGCGGAATGAGGAGTGAGGCTTTCAGGTGAATTGTTGGCTGTCCTCTGACCGTGCTGTGCCTGGGTTACCGTTTCCCGGCTCCTGCCCAAATTGATTTGCCATGACTCCTTGTTTGATTAAACCTTTCAAAGGCCCCTACTAGAGGGCAGGTGACCCCTCTAAAGATGGGAAGACTGAAGGTCTGGCCACTCTGCCTAAAGTCGCAGCTTCCTCTCCCCTTCTCTTGCTTCTCCCAGCTTTATTTCTCCTCTAGCACTTCTTACCACCCGACACGCGGGGCGTTTCCTTTATGTACTTTGTTTGTGGTCTCTCCCCCGCTCCTGTTGTGTCCACTGCAGTATTCCAGACGCTTAGTTAGCACCGTGCCTAGTCTGTAGTAGGTGCTTAGTAAACATCTCTTAGTGAGTGGAGGGAAGAAGTTAAATGATTCTGTAGTATTTGGTGCAAGAAAGTTCCCAAGTTAATGAGTATATGGACATATGACTTGTGTGTCTATTGTTCTGTGAACCCAGGGAGCGGATGGCATTGCCCAGGATCGTACAGAGAGGAGAATTCAGGTGATAGCCTAGGGATAGTAGGCTCTGGCCCTGTGCTAGGCAATCAGCCCCTGACCCTGGAATGTGTATTCTGCAGGCTGGAAGGCACTCTCCTTGAAAGAGTTGATACCAGTGGACACCGAGGAGACAGGAACTCTGGCCTTCAGCTAATATCTTGGCCAGGGCTTCATAGTCAGTTATCTTCACCCCACAGTAATCTTGCTAGGGAAGGGCACTTTACCACTTGTACAGGAAGGAAACGGAGGCCAAGAGAGGTGAAGCAGCCCACCTCAGGTCTTTAGACTGGTGACTCGTAACCCACGGCTGTTCCTCCTGCAGTGCCACCTCCCCTCCACGTTCAAGAAGCCCCTCAGGATCCACCTTCCACACGCTGCTTTCTTTTTTCCAGATCCGCGTGCACCGCAAGTTTGCTGTGGAGGAGGGCGATCATCTCACCATGCTCAACGTGTATGAAGCATTCATCAAGGTCAGCACAGCTGCAGCGCAAAGGCCCCACACCTCACGGGACCTAGGATCCTAGCGCTGATTCATGAGGACCCTTTGATTTCCCCGTTAGTTACTGATAGTCCTTCTACTCTAATGTGTGCTGGGTTTCCTGCCTGGCAGAACTCAGGAAACACTCACTGCTTTTCCTCATGACCTAGACATGCCACGTGTCCGCAGCAGCTAGTGCCGTCGGACAGAGACGGCATGTGAAGTCATGCGCACGGAAGGTAGCTGGTAGTCTTGGCTGGATCTTCCATGCTGTCTGCTGGGTTTGGTGGCCAGCTGGGTTTGCTGGTGGTTCTGAACTGTCAGCCTTTGCGGTTAGCAGCCTGACTCATAACCACTACCCCACCAGGCTCCTCTGACCTGCCCCTTGACTTTAGAGCAGGAGTCCTCAAACTTTTTAAACAGAGGGCCAGTTCACTGTCCCTCAGACCCATTGGAGGGCCGGACTATAGTTTAAAAAAAACAACTATGAACAAATTCCTGTGCACACTGCACATTTTCTTATTTTGAAGTAAAAAAACTAATGGGGCAAAAACACCCAGTGGGCTGGATAAATGTCCTTGACGGGCGCATGTGGCCCGCGGGCCGTAGTTTGAGGACCCCAGCTTTAGATCGTTTCTAGGTTACTTATGCTTTCTAATCCAGTGTACATTTTATCTAAATAGCACTTTCACTTCCCTCAGCCTTTGACCACTGTAATTGTTCGCCCTCCTGACTATTTCCATCTAAGGTTGGTTGAACCCATGGATGAGGAACCTGGATCAGAGGGTTGTTACAGTGGTAACGCACAAATGATTTCTTAGTTGGCATGTGCAATATGACTGGCCGGTCATCACATGAAGTATTTATAAACTCAGACATGCCAAGTTAGAAAAGGTGATTGATTTCCAGGAACCACAGGGAAGTTCCTGTTCTTTCTCGCACTTACTTCTCCTCCCAGGTAGATGTTAAGCTAGGAGAACACCTCTGCTGGTCAGCTTGTTCTCGGGTGCCCTTCTTTGCAGGGTGGGTCTCACAGCCACTTAGCGGGTGCGTGCGGTTGTCAGCATCTGTGGTGAAGGGCCGAGAGGGCGGGGTGATCTGAAGATCTCGTGCCCGAGGGAGAAGGAGCGCACTTAGCTCTCTGGGGGGGGGGGGCCTCTGTGGAGAACACTTGGGGGTCTCTAATTCCCTCTCTGGTTGCTCTGTAGCACAGTAAGAGCTCTCAGTGGTGCCAGGACCATTTCCTGAATTACAAGGGTCTCGTCAGAGCTGCGACTGTGAGAGAGCAGTTGAAAAAGCTGCTCGTCAAATTCCAAGTACCCAAGAGATCTAGTGAAGGTAAGAAGAACCCCCACCCCTGCTCACCCCCTTCCTAGCCCTGCTCCTGACCTGGCCTTCGGACCGTTCTGTACGTTCTGGTGTGGGGCAGCGCCTCCTGCTTTGCACCTGACCTGGGCCTCACTTTGCCAATGTTTGTGCTGATGGGAGGCTGTCGTAAATTAACTACGGATGTGTCACCATGTCCTTTCTCCAAGGAGGCCCATTTTTACACCTGAGGGCCACTCTTAGGGAAAACATTTGAAAGCACGTAACAAATCCCAACGCTTGCCTCATGACACATTCTAGAATAATTTTCTCACAAACAGTTCTGTTGAGTGGAGAACCTTAGTAACTCTTTATATACTGACAGCACATGGCGTGTGTGCAGCCTGGCCATTCGCTGAGGCTGGGACAGAAGTCCTGTGTTAGACCCCCGTCTCACAAAGTGACACTCACTACCCTTCATTGAGGACACTCCAGGTTACTCATTCTGGGAGGAGGGGGTGGGACAGGTGATACCACCCCAGAGTTCGAGGCCGTGCTCTGGAGGAAGGGACATACCTGCTCCTTTGTTCCACACCTGCCTCTGCACGCCTGCTGTGTGCTCAGGAAGCCCTGGTGGCATAGTGGGCCACTCGTTGGGCTTCTAACCACAAAGTGTAGCAGTTTGAAACCATCCGCTGCTCCACAGGAAAAAGATGAGGCTTTCCCCAACACATAACCACTATACTACCAGGGCGTAAGGGGATCTTCGAGGCCAGTTAAATTGGAGCCAGAGAGATCAGGTCAGAAATAGGTCATCCGTTTTGGGGGATTTCTGACAGGGCAATATTGATGGCTTTCTCTAAAGACACAGGTTGATCACAGAGGCTTTTTATGAAGTTTTAAGAAAACTGAATATCACTTGGCAGGATAAAGGCCAGAAAAGTTGAGCCTTGGAATTTGTTTTCATCACAACAATGTACCTGCTTGTTCTTCAAGGGTAGCAAGGTCTGCCCTCCCCGAATTCTATTAGGAAACTCACTCCATCCACTCGACAGCCTTACTCTTGTCCCTTTAGGTTTCCCCTAAAAAAATACCTAAAAGGAACAGACTTTAAATTCCTCGAGATACAAAAACTGTGGTTTTGATGTGGTATAATTCAGAGAGTACAGCATTCTTCAGGGAAAGCTAGAGAGCTGGGAACATCACCTTTAGAAGTGTACAGAGCTAGGGGGAGGATAGATCAAGAAACAAGAGTTTCATGTTTTGATTCTTTTGTTTAGTAAAGGTTTCTATAGTTTTTAGCAATAATTTTACCTCCCCTCATATATATACAAGAGTATTTTAAATTAATCAAAAACCTCATAATGCTATGGAATGATTTGATATATATAATAATCCCAATTAAAAACAAACAAAAAAAACCCTATAATGCTTTAATTACATATTTTCAGAAACGTTTCTCTTATCTTCCTTATTCATTGGCCATCTTTCACATACATATGAAGCAATGAAGAATACCATGGATTGACCCTGGCACACCTTAGTTCTCAAAGTCATATCCTTGCCCTTCAGTACTTTAAAGAGGACTTTTATAGCACATTTACCCAATGCAATACATCTTAATGTGCTAACTGCGGCTTAAAGATGAAATCTTCGATTAAAAATAGTACTGAAAAAGAAAAGAGGAGGATTTCTGTTCCCGGCGTAGATTCGGAGTACCGGGGAACCATGGGGCAATTCTATTCTGTGTTATAGGGTCGCTCTGAGTCGGAATCGACTTGCTGGCAGGGAGTTTTGAGCCGACTGTGTGCCAGGCACTGTGCCGCATACTGACCCTGCTCACTTGCACTTATCACAGGCCAAGCACTGTTCTGAGCACTTGCACACCACAGGATCCCGTGATGCGGACAACAGTGTTGTGCTATGGTCCTTGTTTCACACATGAGAGTAGCAAGGCTGAAAGCAAGAGAGCAACATTGTGAGGGTCACCCAGTGAGAGCAAGGTGGAGTCAGAACTTGAGCCCCAGCAGTTTTATTCAGAGCTGCCTTTTGCCTTGATACCAAGAGCAGGTGGTTCCAGAAATAACCAGGACATAGTTCTTGTTCTCAGGGAACTCACAGGGGATTGTGAAGAGAGAGGTCCCACAGACAGATGGACTGTAACATAAGATGACCATTTCCCTGAGACGTTAAAACAGCCAATCTGTCACTGTGGAGACACGAGGGCAGGGGCACCGGGGAGAAGGGATCCAGAGGAGCTCTCAGGAGAGTCTCTGAGGGGCTGGTGAAGGAGAGAACAGGGGCACCGGGCACCGTGGCCACAGATGATGGGAGTGAGGAGCACATGGAATGCGCACAAGGTCTTTGATGAGTGGACAAGTTCTTGAGAAAGGAAAAAGTGGGTGATGGGTAACGTGGTGTCTTTGATGGAAGCAGGAAACTTACCGGACGAAGCGAGTTGAGCTCCTGTCCCCTCCCAGGGGGGACAGCATGTGCTCTTCAGCCTGCTTGTCGTTGCCTGCCTCTTCTCCCAGCTAGGAACAGCATCACAGTTAGTGTTACTTCTCCCTCACAAGAGAACTGAAGTACTAAGGAGGAAGACTGTGTTGGGTACAGCAGAGTTTTGGAGGGCCACAAACCATTGTCAGATCTAAGATGTTTGCCCGCCCTCCCCATCCTTCAAAGAACGAATTTTCACCCCTTAGGCAGCAATATTGCCTCTGGTAAAAGGGCATGTTCTATTTGGAGCTTGCTTATGGGCAGTAAGAGAGACGAGACTGAACCTTGTATCAAAAACTGTGACTAAAAGTCTAGATTTGAGAATTCTCAGCTGCGTTTATAAACAATAGATTTTAAAAAGAAAACAAATTGGTGACATATTTTTTAGCAGACAAGCATGAGAAGAGATGGAAAACTTCATTATAGACTGATCCTCTTTAACCACTGTAGAATAAATACTAGTGTCCAAATTGGTAAGTGGACACCAATGTAGAATAAATACCAATGTCCAGGTTGTTAAGATCTAGAACAGCAAATCCACAGAAGAGCTGCACGTAGTTATTAATAAATGTAAAATGGGAAACCAAGGGAACAACAGGTGAACTCAGATCAATGGAGAGAAGGGCTAGGATGCCTAGTGGGGCTTAAGCAAGGGCAATGTAGCAGCGAGGAATTACTAAACCCGAATGAAGACCGAACACGATATGGGACAAGAC